CGTTATATTGAGACATATTTTTGGCATAGAAAGTGATCGAATTGGAGAATGATGTTTGAATCAAAGTTGTAGCCAGACGGGTTAGCTTTCTAACGCATTTTGAATCGCCTCAATCGAATATCGGAATACAAAGTTATGATAAAAACACTAATAGAAGGTGCAGCTGCCTGTTTAAAACAAGAAATTCCGTTACATAATCCGTTAAAACAACAAATTCCGTTAGTTTTTCCGTTAAACCAACAAATTTCCGTTAGATAGATACTTTTTATATAGAAGATATATATATATATATATATATATATATATAACTGTGATGCTCAACAACTACCAAGCAAGGTATCACATCTCGGAAAATTATTACATACTTGATTTAGAGCATGTTTGGTTAGGATTAAAATTCAATTAAAATTGAAAATATGGTTGTTATTGAGCCCCACTCATCTAATAAAAGTCAACAATAACAGTTAATTTCTCAATTTTAATCTCTACCGAACACGTCTTTATTGTTCTATATTTTCTATTCTATTTATTTTTGAGTTAGTCAAATTTAGTAATGGTGGGTAGGTATTAGAGGTATCATTTTACCTATTTAATAGTGTTAATGAAAGCAACAATCATTATCTTTTCTAGTATGAGATAAGGATCTAGCAAGCTACAAGCATGATAGCGATTGCCATACTCATCCTTAAGGGTTGTCTGAATGCCCCGCCTGCCCCATATCATAGCAGTGGCACACGCCTGGTTTTGGGCATGTCTAATTGGTTGTCAAGCCTACCCATAGGGTCTATGTTTTCACGGGATGTTCGTCCATCACACTCAAGGAAGTTATAACAGTGCCCAGGTTTAATAACTCATTTTGCGAGAGTGGGAACGTCCTGACGGTTAAATCTAAATAATTAGAGGATGGTGAAGAGTGGGAACAATCCCCGGTATCTGGGAACGGTTACGTGTGTTACCTGGGACTACCACTTAGAATAGAGGCGAGTTTCCTCTTGTAAGGAAGGGGTTAGAACTTTAACTTGTACACAAATATGCTTAGGGTGCGTTTGATTGCAAGGGTGGAAAGAAAATATTTTATAGGAAAAAGATTTGCCTAGAAAATGTTTTGCAGGGAAAATGATTTCAAGTGTGTTTGATTGGTATAATTTTATTTTCCACCCGGAAAATTTTTAAATTTTCTATTGGTTTGACTTTGTTTTATATGGAAATTGTCCATTAAAGTGATATTTTTTTTCCACAATTGATTATAAAATTTGTTTCCATTGCCAAAAAGTTAAAAAAAAAGGGGGAAAAAAATTGTTCCCTAAAAAATCATTTTTTTAATCAAAGTTTAGTGTTCGTTTGACTTTGTTTTACATGAAAATTGTCCATTAAAGTGAATTTTTTTTACCATTAGTTATGACATTTGTTTCCATTACCCAAAAAAAAAT